AAGTTGAATGCTGGGGGTAACGACGAGACTGACTGTGGGACTGCAGGCTCACCCGGAAGTTGGCAAGTACAACATGCGGCTGAACAGAGCAGCGGTAGGCTAGCTACAGGGTGAAGACTTGGGGGTCAGTTGGTGCAGTGCCTTTATTGTAGCATGGGGAGGGGCCACTGGTACATCGAACTTGCGGCGTATCGTTGTGCTAATTGCAAGAACTGGCAGATGGAGAGCTCCTTCTTGATCTTAAAGGTGCAGTGCAACAACAACTGTTTTGAGGAGAAGCATTAAGACTTAGAAGAGTAGTCAAGCTTGCGAAGGGGGTTATTGTGGTGAACTAGGAGGTCGCCAGGGGGCCAACAACTGGCAGTCGGATTTTGGTTGACCGAGTTGCTGCGGTTTGGCCATCATTGCGGGGCCCTCAGGCGTATCCAGATTTCAAGGCCCTCTCCTGGGAGTTGAGTCAGTCCCTCTCTTGTATCTCGAGAGTCTGAAACACCTTATCTTCTGCCCTTCTTACTCTTAGTCTAATCCTGTCCAGAGAGGAAGGCGGCAGGCGGGATTGCAACCCGTAGGACCGCAGCAAGACTCTGTGGGGAGTCAGCCCACCGATTGCGGGAGCTCTGGCGGAACTCAGGAGGAGTTTTGGAGGCAGGGAACTGAAAGGTAACCATTGCTTTCCTTCTATAAACCCAGTATAACCCTTACTTATATTCATTACTATGTTTGACCGAGTATGTTGTCTGTCCCTATTCTGACTTTCATTTTCTCTTAACACCAAAGCAGGGAGAGGCTGAGCCACCCAAACTTATGGAACATGCTCAGACCTGCTCGTTAAGAAACTAAAAAAACTAAAAGAAACCTAAAGTAAACAAGGCGACCAAGCCACCCAAACTTATGGAACATGCTTGGTCCCTGAAAAAGTCAATCACAGTCAACCCTCACAAGTCAAAGCAACCAGACCACCCAAACTTATGGGAACCTGTCTGGTCCTTCAGGCAATCCAAAAATAAACATAACACTGGGCCCTCCAAACTTATGGAGACTCTCCCAGCCTTTGGTTGACCCAGTCAAACATGCAATACTGCCTTCCTCCCACCTTTCCCCAGATGCTACTCCTATCACTAAACTACAAACACATGGTCACTGAAAACTGTTAATCGATCTTCCGGAACACTTCTCCCCATTAGCAAAGACCACGTTCTTGCCAGAAAAGATAACCGCGAAATATTGTTGCATTAATATTCTCTCTTTGTTAGAAACATATGTAAAATGACTTTGCCTATTGTTTTGCTCGAGGTAATGCCTTACAGAGAGAATTGCCAGCTTAACTCGTCTTCGGATAACATATTGTAGCACAATCACAATAGCCGATCTGCGACTCGTTTAGCTGTTACAGCCAGTCGCTAAACTGGGATCGTTTGCCCGTACGCCACATAGGTACTACAACTAGCACACTGAGTTTCAAACGGACAATGCAATAATATGCTACTATCAAGCATTCACCATGATACAATACTGATTAAAATCATGCTATTAGACTATTAATATACTCTCGTATTGATTCTCAGCACCATACCAGAAATGATAAGATAGTCCTACCGATATTGCAAAACGAATGCACGAGTAGTACAACTACAAGCACATGCTCATCAACTATTTCTCCAGCTTAAAAAAAAAAAAAACTCTCCCTAGTTACAAGGCTACCATGCTAAAAAGTTACGCTCCGCCAAAAGAACTGGCCACACATTATTGATACATTAATATACAGTGAAATACGCATATACTGTTTTTTTTGTAGACTGCTTGATTCAAAATACGAACATAAAGTCTTAGGACCAAACAGTTGTTCCTCATATCTTGTCGACATCGATTTTTTTCCCCTCTGTCATCCACGCTTCATCGCTTTAGTCCTTAATCGGATGTAAGATTGTCGAGGATACAGGTAACACTTCCGCGCCGATAACCATATATGTATTGAACACGTTATTATTCCTGGATCGATAAAACCTCTCTTAAACTCAAATGATGCCTAGTTGCGATAGAGCTACAAACGTATCCCCTCTCTCTTCCCCCTTAGTTCAAGAGATTGATTGGTGCATCTACCGCAAAAAATATGCGCGAGTTTTCCTATCGTAGCCACTCAAGCTTCCCTATTGCATAAAATCGTAGCCTCCGCTGCTTCCAATAGGATCGACAATTTTGTCTGATCATTACTATTGTTTTATCTACGAGTGCTTTGGACACTGATACCATAAAGAATGGGCTAACCTAGTAAGTTAACAAAAGCACCACATCCTTGGTTAGTACTTTACTCTGTATATATCGGCACAAAAGGCACTGCAATACTTGGTCATTATAGTTGATGCGTAGGAACGGGTTATCCCTACTAGTATCCCTCATAAAGATAACAAGGTACAGTGATCGCTTTACTCTTACTATTCAAAAAAACACAACAGTTTGTGCCTTGCCATTCTTTTTACACATGTGATGATAAGTCTATATGACTATTGCTTTCTCGTCTGACACGATTGATCAAGTGCCTTGCCCGGCCTCCTCGCTGATTAGCTATGCAAACAAACAATACTGATATACAAAAAAACAAAACCTAGACAATGTTAATATAGAAACGATGACATTATTCTCACAAATTCTTGCTTGCCCTAAACTATGTACGCTTTCCCTGACGAAAGACATAAAAGACGTACTTACATCTAGGATGTGCCCTCTAGTATATATGATCCTGCATTTACGGTAATATACGCAAGATCTTCAGAACAAGAGGAAAGAGAGAAAGGCAAGGTGAGATGGGATAAAGATGTCAGAATCAGGAAGGAGAAGATTAGAGTCAGTGACATGGTACTGCTCTACGACGCTGCATTGGAAAGAACATGGTCAGGGAAACTAGCTAACAGATGGATGGGGCCCTATCGAGTGGTCGACGCGTTGACCTGAGGAGCTTATATGATTGCGGAATTGGATGGGTCCAAGTGGAAGGATCCTATGGCAGGAGCTAGATTGAAGCTGTTTAGGCTGAGGGAGGCTCCTACTCCTGCACCGACACTAACAGATCCTAGAGGAAGAGGGAAAGCCAAAGTGTCAGATGAGGGACCGTCGAGACGGTTCGAGATAGGTGAGAGTTCAAAAAAGAGGAAGAGAGTAGAGGCCAGGAATGTGAAGGGTTTAACGCTAGGTAAGAAAAGGAAGTGGGTCTTTGTGCTACGGAGGCCTAAGCGCAGAGTCCGCATTAGACGGGGTGGAGCATTTGCTGCACGGCCACTCCAACGAAGGAAGAAGCGAAGAAATATCCATGTACCTAAGCCCAAACGGCCACGACATAAGAGAGGGAATAAACACCCTCTCAGTCCCAGAGTCCCAGAAAAACCCAAGCGCCAGACGGATAAGCTCAAACATAAGAGTCGCGCGTGTGTGGTCAGTCTAAATCTTATACGATTCGTTTGATTATGGCAGTGCGGGCTCAACGGGGGCGTCGAGAGGAGGTCCGGGCTTGTTTGTCGGGTGGTCGAAGGTCAGTCGGCCACCCAAAATCCTAAGGATTGACCTTTAGATTATCTACGTAAAAAGGGTTTGACCGGGACTTTTGTCCGAGCCGTCGGTAGAAATTAGGGGTCAGAGAGAGACCCCTAATATTCTCCATGTCGGGTATCGACACTGACGCTTGAAATCGATGAAAGGAACTGTCACGTCTGTGGTACCTAGTGCCTACCATTTTCGTCCGTTCCAAGCCCAAGACCGAAGCGGCTGGTCGCGGGACGGTAGTATGAGAGTAGGCCCTAGGGCGACTCTTCTACGTCAACCAATCGACGCGGAGACGGAGCCTGGAATTTTGTTAATTCCAGAGACAAAATTAAAATAGGAAAAGAGAGTTAAAAATAATAAGAGAAGCAAAACAGAGGGAATTTTGCTATTTAATTAAATTCCATCGAAATTTAATTAATGGTTAAATTCTTCATTTTTAAGTATTCTCAATAATAGAATTAAAAACAACGAAAAGGATTTAAAATAATAAAAGAAAAGAAAAACGAAGGAATAATTATTATTTATTTCAATTTCGTCGAAATTCATTCATGATGAAATTAGTCCCATTTCCTTTTTTTTACGATGATCGAACTAAAATGGGACAAATAATTTGAAATAATAAAGGAAAAGAAAACCAACGATTGTTTGATATTTGGTAAAATTCTATTTGATTTATTCGCGATGGGTTTCAGTCCCGATTATTTTAATTATCCCGATTTTGACGATTCTTTCAAATTCCCGATAATTGAGAACCCTTGCGTGATTTCCCCGATTTATCTGACCGCCTGGGCATTTGAGTGAGTAGATCCAAATGGGTGGTGTGGTGCGGCTTCTGTTGCTACCTTGGTGTGTGCTTCATCTTTCGGTGCGGCCATTGGATCAATTCGGGCACGACAATCTGGATTCGGGGCTGGTTCGGAGCTACCACGACATGGTTGCGCTGTTCAGCGATGACATGATACATCACGGTGTCTACCTTGGGTTGGTACGGTCCGGCAACAGGTCCATGGCACTCTGGTCCGGGAGAGGTTCGGTGGTATCACGATATGACCGCACAGGTTCGGCATCGACTTGGTACAGCAGTCTGGTACTAGTTTTCAGGTTCGGGGCAGGTTCGGAACTATCACGCCATGGCTGCACAGGTTCGACATTGACATGGTGCGGCAGCTTGGTACTAATTTTCAGGGCTCGGGACAGGCCTGGGCAGTTCGGCATTGATATCACTTGGTACGGAACTCCCATCCGCTTTAGCGGTGCGATGGCTCGCTTACTCGATTGGGTACGGGCTTCTGCAGTTCCGGATGGTTGTTTCAGGCATGGTATTGGCATGGTATTGGCATGGTAACGGCATAGGCCGCGACAGTTCAAACAGTCGCGCCAGGTTCGGTACTATTGAGGTAGATTATCGTCGGTGCTGGTGTTAAGTTCTTTAAAGTACTGCGGTCACTGGTTCGACACGGGTACAGATCTGAGGTTCGGTGGAATAACTTCTGGAGTCGGCGCCGGTCTGGAACTGCTTCAGCTCGGTGCGATATTCGAACCGGTAAGGGACTGCTTTTATGACACAGCTGCAGAGCACGTCGGGCCCGGCGCTGCGGGTCGGGGTTGGTACCACCCCACAGACCTTGATGAATTTCCAGCCGCAGGGTTCGGGGCCTCGAGCGTGGGCATGGGCCTGGTGGTGAGTCCGTGCTGCATGGGCAGACGAAATATAGGAGGCATCTGCGAGAGGAACGAGGGAGATTCGGGGTATGCAAGGAGGGAGTGTGCCTGGTGTACCCCGTCCACATTGGCAGTCCGAGGCGGGGCGCGATAGCCTGGTTAGCGAATAGCGAGAGAGATGAGCGCAGCGAGAATGAAAGGAGGGAGAGGAACAGAGAGTGGGGGAAATTCAGACTGTGGATGGATTCGGCGAGCCAGGCGTACTCAGTCCTCACCCGAGACTGGATGAGACAGCCCCGTTTGGGAGAAGGAGGGGCGCGCGCAGACAAGGGAGGTCGAAGAGGAGTGTGCCGGCGTTCGCTGCTCGCTGTGCAGCGCGGCTCCTAGTGGGGTACGGGGTGATCACGTGGAGGAGGGGAGTTCAGCAGGCAGGCAGATGGGCGGTACCAAGAAGAAAGGTGTGGGAAGCTGATGTGTCCGCCCGATCACCACCGAGTCAGTCATGATCATTCCCGCTGTTGATTGGAGTAACCATGACCATTTCCGCTATTGAAGGGGGCTGTTACTTTCGCTAAAAGAAAAGAATCAGTCATTTTCGTTGTTGACTGGAGCGGCCATTGTTCACTTCCGCCTGACGAGAGGACCGCTCATCCCTGCTGTTGATGGGCCATTTTTCTGATGATGAGATGACCATCTATTCCCGTTGTTGACTACACCAGCTACCTTTCCAGCTACCTCCCACTGATGGGATGAACAATCTTCACTGCTATTGAAAGGGCACTTTCCGTTGACGAGGTGAACACCCGTTCCGCTATTCACTGGAACAGTCACTCCTCAGGTGCGTGTGACTCCGCTCAATAATGGACGACACTCGGAGCAGTCTGGGGAGAACCAGCTCATGAGAGACTCTTCAAGAATCGAACCTGGAAAGAGAGAAAGGGCCTTCAGGAATAGGAGTAAGAGTGAGAGTACATGCTGCAGCCTGAAAGAGTACTCATTATTTTTTTCGTTGCTGTTGTTTATCTTAATAATATATGCCCTACAGCCAGAGCATCGTAATTACACCACGGAAGGAGGTTTTACCATTGCTGTCCTAGAAATAGCGATGAGGAACCGCCAACTGGAACTACGCCATGCTCTACAAGGTGAGTTGTTTAATCCTCCATCCCACATCTCTGCCTGCATTGTGCACGGGCCTGGCCATTACATGGCTATTGTACACGCCTCTGACCATTGGGAGGTGTGGAACGACGGTGTCATGGTCCATGCCATGATTGATATTACTGATTTCTTACTCTATGATGCTGTTCTCTTGCCACATCAAACTGTCCGCAATCTCCTTTATGTCGAATATCATTCCTCTGCCACCGCAATGCAGCAATACAATGTACACACACTATGTGACCTTCTCCTTTGTACAACCACAGACACTGTTGCACTTGGGTGTACTTGCCATCATCTTTGTCACAATCACTACCATGAGATGGTTTCTGCATCCATGTGTGTACAGGATTGTCCCTCCGTCCCTGACTACAGACATCCTCCTCATCCGGATACTATATGTCCATTTTGTGGCCACGGACGCTATGCTGAATGCATGCTCTTTTGTGGGGGGCGTTCTTCCTTTATTCTGGCCTGCAATAGACATGCTATTTGTGAGGAATGTATGGTTGGCATGCTTAATGCCAGCCGTCGTGGCAGTTGTTGTTTTGGGAATGCTCAGTTAGGTCTTCCATGCGCTCATCCACCCCATCCTTACAATGTGTGTCCTTTCTGTCGTCAAGGACAGCCTCATTCTTGAGCTTTTTCTTGTCCTTTCCTTTGCCCTCTTTCTCATTCTACACTCCGTATTTTCCCTCTTCCATTCTTTGTTTGTCCTCTCTCTGTCTCTTTTCCCTGTGTTTAACACCTTCCCCTTCACTCTTGCCTCTCTCACAGCGTGCAAGTGGGTTGTTATAGCATACGGGGATGGGGGCAGCTCGCGCTCAACTTCATCAACGTGGCGAGCCTTGCACGTGAGAGGCACAGTGGAGGTGGCGTTCAAAGAAGAATGAGAAATTTAATGGTTTCAATCTGCCTTTGCTTTTTCTTTTTGTTTTTGTTTTTATTTTTTGCAATGTGCCCGTTTTTGGTTTTTATTCTTTGTTTCGTAAAGTGCGCTCTTTTAGTTTGTAGTTATGTGACAATATATTCTCCGATGTTGCTAGCCCTCTGCTCTTGCAGATTGAGCGGCGAGCATCGGGCCTGTACAACAAGACACTCACTTTTTTTGTGGAAGACAATCTATTATTTCTCTTATCTCCTACATCTTCTTTTTATGTTGTTCCTTTTTCTCACCCCCTTCCTTAACGACTCTCCTGCCTCTTTCACAGGAGCTGTATGCCTATTTGGCTGGTTTCATGGTGAACTCAGCTCCTCCATCATTTCTTATGACAGATGCTGTTACAAAAGTTCTGCATGGTTGTTTGTCCTTTTTTTGGTAAGCTTGGTATTGTGACCATRTTCATTTTGTGTACAACTGTTACGTACACTTTTTTCCTTCAGTGCGTGATGTGATTGTGATGGCGGTCACCGCAAGGGCACTGGTTGCACCCCTTTCCCGTGCAGTGGGTATAGTTACGGCCCGCCTAAGGTTGGCCAGACCCGGGAGGCTGCCTCCATGCCCACTCACCTCTTGTTCCCTGTTCTTTGGGATAATCCTTCTACGCTGGCTCATGCATGTGTCAGTTGCTTGGTGACATCTTTTTATGTAGACACTGTTGGTCTATCGGTGTAAGGCTCTTGGCATTGCTGCTGGTTGCACACTTATGCTGATTGCACACTCATCGGGAGACGCAATTTCACATTTACACCAAGCTCCCTCTTTGACAATG